AATTTTTTTTCTTTTACACCTTTCCAAAGTAGTTTTTATAATGTATTTAGTCTTAAGTAGTTTATGTTTTCAGCACTCTACTATTTGCATTTTACTGCTCCATGTTATTTTTTCCCTCTAATTTAATCAGAAGTGTTATGTATTTCCATTGATATTTTGTAAATTCTAATACAAAACTTTAAATTATTCCAATCTGTGACCACAATGCAACTCCATGAATAACAATCATTCATAAGGGATGGGGAGAGATTTTCCAGTTCCACTAACAGAGATGGGAGACCTGTTTGACTGACTCTGACTTTCTTGTGCCTCCCAAATTTGCTTATGAAAGTTTGGGGAACCTTGGGGATTATATGAGATGTGGCATGGGAACTAGCATAATTTCTCTTCTCTACTTCATTTCACAAAGCTTCTAAGGGATTGAAACCCTTTCCCAATTTCTAAAAGAAAATCCATCCATTCAGGGAAATACTATGCTATTGTTCTTTGAATCCTGGCCTTATTTAATGCCTAATTATTTTTGTTTTTAGAGTTTTCAAAATGATTTTCAGAAACTGGCCCCAGTACATTCAGTTCAGATATACTCATCATCCATAAAACTTCCTACCTTTTTTTAAAAAAAAATCTGTACTGTTAGTAAAGCCTATAGTTTTCTGTTTTCAGTAAATTAACTTCCCATGTAATGCTGTAATGTTGGTTCTCTTGGTGCTTGATCATGAGCAACTTCTGACTAGTGAAGGAATTGTGTGATCCAACTGGGTAAAGAACTACTAGCAACTCCCAGATGCTTAATAATGAGCCTTATTAAACAGAAGAATACATAAGATGTCTCCTTTTTTTGGTTTCTGTTATATTCAAGAAAGAAAAATGCAGCGTGAGGAAGCATGGTAAGGATGATAAGCAAAGGGAACTAGGAAAACCCATGGTTACTCCCCAAAATTGGTGCATCAAACTGTAAGTTCACTGGGAATTATGGCTTCTCAGATCTTTGGCCAAGATCTCAGTCTAATTGTAATAAATTGGAAGTCCCTTGTATATGAATGCAATTTATTTCATAAACAAGTCGCAAAGCAAGATTAATGATTGTTTTATTTAAAAAATAAAGATTACATTAAAAAAAAAAAGCCAAGTGGCCTATGCTTCCAAATCTATGTGAAATAAAAACTATGTTGTGTTCTGGCCAAAAATATTTATCTCCAGAGTATACAACATAATCCCCATCAGTTCCTCACATAAATCTTCAATCTACAGGTGGTTCTCAGGTCATGGTCACTCATTCAGCAACCGTTCAAACTTGTGATGGTGCTGAACAAGGGGGACTTATGACAGGTCCTTGGAGTTCCAGCCATTGCAGTGTCCCTGTAGTCACATGATTGCGAGTTTTGATGTTCCCTGTCGGCTTCCCACAAGCAAAGTCAATGGGGGAGCTGGCAGAAAGTCAGAAGTCATGGTCATGTGAGGTCCTTGCTTAATGACCCAAGTGGTTCTTGCTTAACAATGGCAACTAGGACTGCTGGAATTGCCATTGCTAAGTGATGCAGTCATGTGACATTGTACTTTATGATTGCATCGCTAAGTGACAGCAATTCCAGTCCCAACTGCTGTCATAACACAAGGACTACCTGTACTCTGTAAGATTGGACATGTGCAGGAAAGGAGAGCAAGAAGAAATCCCATTGTGAACACTAGTTCATTCTAATAACCTTGGGTAGAGCCCAGGAATGTTATGTATTTCAGGAATATGCTCCTGATTCCAGCAGCCAGTTAATGCTCTATCTTTTGTTAGAAAGAGAAAATTAAAAAAACTTAAATTGTAAAGGAAAATGGTAAGTTCTAAAATTCAGTATATATTTGGCTGTAAATTATAAGCAGTCAAAGTTCTGATCCTCCTTATTCTTGCTTATTTTAAGTGGAGGTGTAGAAGTGTGGAAGTGGATCTTGTAGCATATTCCTATTTAGGATTTTTCATTCTACGAACCCTTCTGGATTTAGACAGCTTTTTTAAAAAAATAGTATCACTGCTGTAAGATTTGATACTTCTACAAACTTAGGTGCTTACTGTATACCTGTTTTAATACACAATTTCTGGCACACAGAGAATTAAATGTGATTATGTGTATGTGTGCAGAGAGAGAGAGAGAGAGAGAGAGAGAGAGAGAGAGAGAGAGAGAGAGAGACCCTTCAAGTCCGTGTTCACTCCTGCAGTGTTGACAAGTCCCTGCAGTTTTCTTGACAAGATTTTCAGAAGTGGTTTGCCATTGCCTCCTTCCTAGAGCTGAGAGTTACTGGCCCAAGGTCACCTAGATGGTTTTGTGCCTAAGGTGGGAGTAGAACTCGGCCTCCAGGTTTCTAGCCTGGTGCCTTAACTACTACACCAAACTGAGAAGGAGGGACAGAGATAGAGTACTTTTGGTGGCTGGAAAGTCTGGAGAAAAATGTTAGCAAAAATATTTGGAATGCTTTGATATGACATTCTTGGTAATGTATGTATTTCTAAGAACTGAGATTCCTACAGGCTATGACAAAATTAATCTAATCATTGTGTTAGGAAATTGCTAACTTGCCAATAGCAAGAGGAGGCGAGTGAGGAAATAGATGGCTAGGGTTCAAAAAGTTAGAGAGGTAGGTTTGCCTTGCTTTTTGAAATAGTTGGATTTGCATACCGGCCAGGTTTTCGTTTTGTTTTGTTTATGAATAGTTAAAATGCATGGAATTCTCTTGTCTTCTCTCCAAATAGCTTGGAAATGTTTGGTGTTCCTCAAAACTGGGAATACCACTACATGAGAACAAATCTGGGTTTGTGTGTACATCCTATGAGAAATTCCAGGGTCTTAAAGTACTTTTGGGGCCTTGGGTTTGACATTGCTTGTATTCATTCCCCATTAATCTCCAAAATTAGAATCACAGCATTGGAAGAGACCACAGAGGTCATCTACTGCAACCACCGACTCAGTAGATGATCCACCAGAGTACCTCTGATAAATGACCACCCATCCTCTGTTTGAACACCTCTAACAAATGAGAATACACATCAAGTGGTAGCCTGTTCCATTAGCTGACAGCTTACAAAGTCAGGATATTCCTCCTGATGTCTACCCCAAATCTGCTTCTTTGTACTGAAATCAATTGGTTCAGATCAGTGGGGATTAAATAGAAGATCCCTCAGCCTTTATTCTCCATAGATAAGAGGAACATAAACTAACATCCAGGGTAATGGTGAGGATGAGCCTATCTCCTTTAAAAGGAGATGTCCATTTTCCATTTCCATTTTTCAGTCCAAATCTTTATCATATATTGGATGAGGGAATATATGGGAAGAAAGCACATCTTAGGTAAAATTCAAGCCCTGTTTTACTGGAAATTTAAGCAATACATGGCAATTTTTTTCCCTTTAATCTGGTAGTTTATATTCAGAAACCCTAACAGAAAAGCCAAACAAGTACCACAAATAACTCTAAGAACATCAGAATGGATGAATCAGTTGTCCAGTAACATCCAAAGTTCTTTAATCTATTCCTGTGTCATAGCATAAGAGGGGAGCCTGTGCCCTATGAGATCTTTTTGGACTTTGGAGACCCCAGTAGATCCAAGTAGCATAACATATCATAAGTTGTAGTTCAGCAATACCAGGAGGTTTCAGGATCTCCAGATATAAATGAAGTACCATTTGTAGAAATAGGTGGAATCTGCATATTGAGATTTGGTGTATATTTGGGTGCTTCAATATTTACATTGTTAAAATTTGCATTTACTGTGTTTTAGATTTGAAATCTTGCTTAGCTTACACAAACCTGGCTATAGGTTATTTGATTTGTCCAGAATATTAAAGGGACTTTTATGAAGTCCTATTTTTATGTTTTGGTTTGCACTCAGACAAACCCTGGAGTTGGAGGGGAGGCATACTTTTATACAACTGCCATGTTACAATAACATTGGTAATGTTATCTTTTTAGACATTTACACATCCATTTAAGGAACAGTATTTTAGGAAATTTCATAAACATTGATGCTAATGCAACATGGCTATGATGAAAAAGTTCCAATGGCAACTTTTATTTAAAGGTTAGTCAATGGGAACTGTAACTATAATCGGATTTCAACACAAAGTTAATTCTTCCCAGTGTAGCTCCAGAAAAAGGATAATTCAAACTAAAATGCAATTTAGGGAATCTAGTAGGGAGCATCGCAAGCATGGAACAGCATTTTTTCATGTTAGTGTTGTATATCGATTTGAAGTTTTAAAAGACTTTCATATGATGATTTGCCATAACTATCAGCTATTCTGAAAACAGTGATCCTATGAAGAAATAACAGTGGTCCTAATTGAATAAAACCAAACTGCAGCTTAGATGTTTTAGACATTTGTGTTCCATTTAGTATTGCAGAAACACCTTTTCTTAGATTGGTGTGCCAATAGGTACAACTTCTCAGATTTGTCTGTTTAAGCATGTTTGCTAGCCAGCTCATCATAACTTCCAGACACTGGTTAAATATTTCCATTTCCTCTTTAACTGATTGGGAAATAGAGAATATGTATGAGTCTCATGCATTCTAAAACTGCAGGCATTTTTTCCGGACATTAAAAATACAGAATAAGACATCTATGAAATTTAAGCTAGGCGTAAAAATTTACAGCAAAAATTACCATCATTCTGACCACTGGTCATGCTAGGACTGAGAGGAGCTGTCATTCAACATCAGGAGAATCATAGTTGCCTCACTCTTCCATTCTGTATAGGCTTAAGGGCTGACTAAAAAGCCTAGGCTAACTAAAATAGAAACTGGCAAAGCTAACATGATTAACAGGCCACCCAAAGATGAATTTAGTTCTGATATAAAATGTAAATATCCAGAAATATTGTTTTTTTAAATGGATGGTGACTTCAAAGAAGCCTTCAAGAATTATTTTCTAGAATGCTTTCTGTGTTATACATCTTAAACAAGCATAAGCAATGGGGAGACTTATATGTAGAACATATGTATATATTCATACAACAGCATTGCCTGTAGAAAGATAATTTATTTGCTTTACAGGTTCTTATTTTACCCTCAGTAATGAAATCCAGTAAGTCAATTTGTTCATAATAAAAAGTTGCTTTACATATTATTTACAAGTATCCAAACGTATACAGAATGTCACTGCCGTTGACTATACCTTCTCACATAACTTGAGATTGGAGTTTGCTGCAATGACACACATTCAAATAATAAATTGTGGATATGCACAGTGTTTTTGGCACATCTAACTTCATATTTTGTATTGAGTCTGGTACATATAAGTAATCTGTTGTCAAGGAATGTCACAAGGGTGGACAAAATGCAGGTGGCTGTTCAAACTATTCTTTGGCAATCTGAAGATTGATAAGCATGGAAAAGATCTAGCAAGTAAAAAAGTGGAATCATAACTTTGCTACTATACTTCTTGTAACTTGTACTAGAATTATTTTGTTAAGCTCATAGCTCTGAAGTTTAGATGTCAGTTCTCTCTAGGTCCTTCAATTAATTTACATATACAATGTCATACTTCTCATATTTCCTGTAGAATATATTCCAAAACCTGTCTTCACTAAGATGCAATTTCCTGAAAGACTTCATGGAAATGAATGCATGAGCATTCCTGAAACATATTGCACATGTTTATGATCACCATAGTAGATACTGGAGACCTACAACTCAAGTAGAAGATAGATTCTAACATTCCAGTCAATACGTATATTATCTTGATGCCCTTTTACATCATAAGCTCACAATAGTAAGCATTCTTCTTTCTCAAAAAAACCATTAAGTCAGTTAATCCATAGTTTTGTTACAGATGTATCAAGTACACTTTGATATTTAAAAAGGAGAAAAATACTATTATCATCTGGAATATTTTACTCCACTAGTTTGAGACATTTACAAAAAGAGCCATTCACAAAATAGATTTAAGTTTCTGATCCCTTTTAAACCAAAACATTATAATAAAAATGGTTTTGCTACTCTTAAAAATATGCAGTTGAAAACAAGTAACTGTTCAGTATTTACTGGACAGTCTATTTAAAAATTTGCAATGACGACTTAGGGATATAAGATTAAGTTAGAGGTTTGGAGAAAAATATCACACCACATATCTCAAGCGGCACTACAAAGTTGCTGCAGGAAGTTAGCCGACAAATCAATCAATGAATTTTAGTTTCATATATTTGTTGAATTGTTGTATTAAAACGCTGTCACATAATAACTGCCACAATAATTTATGCAGATAATCATGTTATAGTGTATTGATGATTTTAAAATTGGAAGTTACCAGTACATAGTGAATTAACACTTTCATTTTTTGTTGCTACTGTTCATGTAGCCAAACATAAACTGAGTGTATTCCTACCACACGCATCCTCACCCAGATTAGTTAACTCATTTTTGAAATTAAGATAACAAGGTAGATACTCGTGTTGAAAATGGAATCAATACTTTTTTTAAAGGAAAGTACAAGCCTTTTTAAAAACTTACCTCCACTCTGAGAAGTTAATACGCTATTCTAAAATACCACAGTACAGAGAGGTCCAATTGTTCATGGTATATTTGAAAAAGTTCAGTTTATGGAACTCCATTACATGAGGATGCTCCATTCCCACATCCATTCTTCCACACAATCCACCATGCTAATTAAACCCCTGTTCCCCAAGACAGAAAGAATGGTCCATAGTTATAAGACCCATGGTTCAATTGCTCATTTGTAATGTGTTTTGACCTATGATTTAAAAACATTCCCACCTTCCAAAAACCATATAACTATTCTGTTTTTGGTCCTGTTCTATTTAATCTTCAGCTTAGATACCAGTTATTCCTTCTGTCCGACCTCACTCTATCACACATTTTTATAAGTGTTTGCAGATAATCAGTTCACAGTGTGTTCCTAGATTCTAGGGCTTAGAAGGTCAGATGCAGACTTCTGTCTGACAAAGAAGAAGACATAAGGTATGATTTCAGAAGTTTTTATGAGGAGACTTCAACTGAGAATGTGCTACCTCTAATGACT